TTTTTTTTTTTTTTTTTTTTTGCCTGTACTGGGCATTGAATTTCTGATCCTTCTGCCTCATGTTCCCAAATAGCTGTGATTATAGGTCTGTGCCACCTCACTGGAGTTCTTTATACTTCTTCTAATGATCCAAAGTATACTTCTATACTTTGGATCATCATCACCTTTCTCATTTAAAAATATATTAATATCCTTTTTACTTCCCAAGGAAAGAACACTTTTGATAATTGTTCAACTCAACCTCCAGTGAAGTCTCACACTTTGGAACTATTTACTTTTGGATCATCATCACCTTTCTCATTTAAAAGATATTAATATCCTCTTTACTTCCCAAGGAAAGAACACTTTTGATAATTGTTGAACTCAGCCTCCAGTGAAGTCTCACACTTTGGAACTATTTACTTTGAAGACATCAGAGCCTACCCACCTTTGTCTTACTAGTTACATCTTTTCTTGGTCTCTCAGTCTCAATATAAATGTGTGTCCTTATAACCATCAGTAGATAAACAAGAATCTTTTAAGATAGTAGCAAGTCTGATGGTTTTTGAAGTGTTTGGTGGTTTTCATGGGAAGGAAATTTCCTAAGTGGTGGTTTTAGGTTTTCTCAGATACTAACTAGGCAGCTTTTTGGAGGATCATCTCCAGTTTGATACCTGTTTTCCCCCGAGCAGCAGTATTTTCTTCATAGATACAGGTAAGATTCTTGGAGTCTTTTTTTTTAACCACAAAGTATGGAAAGTGAAAATTCAAGGCATATTTTCTGTAGAAACAAAGAATTTTATTTGCTGGACAGAAACTTGCAAAGTCCTCTGACATCCATTGGATTACAGTTTACTATATTCTGATACCAGAAGGTAACAGTATTTATCAAGCCTTTGTTATACTGAATTACTCATAAAAGAAACTTATCTCCCTGGCTGGGGCTGCTCAGAGGTAGAGCATTTACCTAGATGCTTGATGCCCTCCATCCTATCCCTGGTGATCATGGTGATAGGTTAAGGGAAGACATCAAAGGAAGACCTCCCTTATTTCCCCAAATATAACTGTATTATCATTGAAGTGACACTATAAAGTTTGATAGTGTACCACAACCAGTGAATGGTGGTGGTTTTTAAAGTATGAATATATGCTGTAAAGTTGCTGATAGTAATTCCTATAAAATAAGTGATGAATTATTTCATTGTAAAGATCTAGTTTTAGAGTAGGATTCTTTGATCATTCATGGCAGAATGAAAAAGTTAAGTGATTCTTGTCCAAATAACTCAGTTCTTAAAATTCTTAAAGTTACTACAAACCATTATTGTTTAAAATTGCTGTATTGAAAAAGTTAAAATTTTTGTGTACGGGTAGATTTTTCTCCCATTAATAGATAGCACCTTTAAAAATACCATCTTACATTAGCTACAACAAAACTCCTGTTAGGCCAAAGAATCGCACATATTTTGTAAAAGAAAAAATATATTAGGGTCAGATTATCCCTTTTAACACTATTGGAGATGATGTTGCTTGTTTTATTGATAAAAGTATTTTAGCTGTAGGGACTATTGATAATGGTTGTGTAAGTGATAACTCTTTTTGACCTGGTTGAAAATTCATTTATTTTAAATTAGGATAGGATTGTAATTACGGAAACTCAATGTGTGTACCTACCCACATTCTCTTAACAAAATATTTAATATGCAGATGATAAAGACCAAACCAATGGCTGCACTCTTGGTCTGCTTATTTGTATTTGTTCTGCTTCTGTTTATGTGTAGAAAATGAAATTCTAGTAACATGCTTCATTCAGTTCTGTTATCTTTTTGATACTTATAAAAATGTATTAGGTTTTACTATATTGTGCTTTTCAAAGCCATAACTCTTAAATTTGTTTTTGCATATTGTTTGTTAAACTTTATTTTAATAAACCTCAAAATCTGCTTATTGTGTCATACTTATTTGTGGTACTTTGTTCTGATTTATATTAAGTGGCGTTATAACAGAGGCATGAAATTATCATTTGATGCAACCAACTGAATTTTTTGTGTGTGCTAGTGGTAGAAAATGTGATTATACCATACCTTCCCATTGAGCTCAGAATAATCAGGTTTTCTCGGAATGATCACTCTTTCTTTCCATTGTTTGTAAGGGAGTTAGTGAATTTTTCTTTGTTTTATTTTAAAGGACAATTTGGGCCTATAGTCTAGAATTTTTCTGCGTTTAACCATTACTTTTCCTTCACTAGATTTTATTGTCTAAATGAGGGGGCTTGACACAATAATTGAGAGTCATCATAGGCAGATTGCAATTAGGACAGCTGACTCTGGCATCAGCCTGTCTGCATTTGAGTCTTGGTCTTTATAGTTCTGTGCTCTTAGGCAGGTAGCTTATCCAGTCGGTGCCTCAGTTAACTCATCTGTAAGAGTCTACTTCATAGAACATTAAATGAAATGATACAAGTATAGTTCTTTGAACAGTGCTTAGTACAAAATAACTCATTTTCAATTATCATTATCTTTTACATTTTGTTACATGATTATTTCTGATGCTCCTTGATCTTGGTAGATCACCCCTTGATTATCCACTTGGTGAATTAGATGTGCTTTTCTTTCTTGTCCTACTCCCCCTGCTCCCATTTTTTTGAAGGGAAAAAAAAAAGCAGAAATCTCAGGCTAGCTTTTTATAAGCCAGCTATGGTGCATACTTCCACTGCCCTTTATGTTACATATACAACAAAAATAGAAAAGTCCAAACTAAACATTTTAACATAAAAAAAATTAAACATAAAAAATTCTTACTCTTTAAAGCCTTCCTCAAAAGAAAGTTTTTGTAGATCTGTTCCTTCTCATTTATTTGAAAGGCATCTAAGTATTTCACTAGCTGTTGTAGAAGCATATTTTTTTCTATATAACACATTTTTCCTGGCAAAACATTTCAGTGAGCTCTGAGAATTATTGGCTTCTTTTAGATTTAAGATAATTAGTTTTCTAATTGATGTAGCCTAAACAGTTAAAGATAATGAAGTGGTAAGACTCAATGGCTGATATTCTCTATTATAGCAGTTTTTATGTAGTTCATATTTTCTAAACATTTATAAAAAAATCTGTCAGCAGTTGGTAATGCTTATCAGAAAGTTCTTATGTAGAGCTCTGTATAATATATAGAATTGAAAGAAGGATGTATTTTTCAGAAGCTCCCACCTCTTCCCCATTGAACATTTAAAATATTACTATGATTTTATTATTTAATTTATAATCCTATCTTTAATAAACTTTGCAAAAAAGTCTTGTATTTTTTTAACCTTAAATCACTTTGTTTTTTATTATATTTTAAACATTAGGGCAGTGATGCTAAAATAGCTGTTGGCAGTTAGGTTAAGCATCTCCATCTTAATGTTGAAGGGGATCTGGGAAGGGGGCTTTTAAGTTGGTGACTGATACTTTTATTACCCATATAGAGTTTATTGAGGTGGAAGTCTTAAGAATCTTATAGTTTAATTTTAGTGCTCTGGTTTAGGTCCCATCATATTTTGGCCTGTTTATAAGGGAAATGCCTTTGAGAACACATGACATGAAAAATACATAGACTATATTTTGCAATTCAGAATAAAATATTAATTTTGCTGAAAAGAGACTCAAGAATAGGTCTGCAGGGGCTGGATGGCTTTGAGAGGTTTTTCCAGTTTGTAGTTCTGTCAACATCAATTCAGAAAATGTAAGCATTCCCTATTGATTTTTCTGTATATAAACTGAAAAGTGGCTTAACTTAGAATTGTTTAAGCCAACTTGGTGTCAGAGAATGTGAAGCAATAATACATAAACAGTAAAGACTGCAGGTACGCTATTTATATGTTCAGATGCTGTTTGTATCCTTTTATTGTCTGTTTAATAAATTGCTTGAAGTTTCCAGATCTCACTTCTGCCCTTCTTTAATTATAGAACACCTACATTCAGCTGGATACCACACTTGTAGCCTCCTCAGCTAGGCCTGGTCATGTGACTAAATCCTACCCCATGTGGTACAAGCAGAAATAATACATTCCTTTGGAAGAGGAGTGCTCTTGC